CAAATAACAAATTTTCATATTAAATATTTTTAATGTTATGTAATTTTTAAATAGAGAACTATTATTCAACTCGAAAAGAAAATACTCTAACGGAAAAAATCCCAAATGGTTAAAATATATTATATATCTATATACATATTTAAATGTTTGTCGGGTACTGTGTATTGCGAAACAACATTGGATCAAAGTCCTTACAAATCATTTGTTAACGCTATTTGGTATTTCATTTACATTTTCAATAACATTTGCTGTACATTAAAAAAACTTATTATGTAATTTTAGTTAATTTATAATTTTTTTTTGCTTTTTAATTAACTGAAAAAAATTCTCTTTATTTTAAAATTAGTTAATTATTTTTGTAATCTAATTTTTACTAACGCTTTCTGTATCTAAAAAAAAAAAAATGAAAGCCTTAAATGTCGTCTGTGCGTAGTAAAAGTGTTTTTGTGAACATTTTGGGTTTCCATCCATCGATATAGTTTTTGATATTTATTTTTCTTGATTTATTTTTGGATCTCTTTCTCTCTCTCTCTCATTTAAGAACACAATCAAAATTGCTGAAATCAAAACGCAGAATAATCAATTGGAAAATCAAAAGCTCGAGGAGAAAGCGCGCATTATCGAAAACAAATTATACACCGCCGAGCAGAATCGCGAAAAGGAGTTGCTCAAAAAAATTGAGAAAGCTCAGAAACTTGTAGGTCTCCCCAACAGCCCGCACATCATCCAATATTACACTACACATATACATATGAATACATATATTTATATATATATATTTATAACTCTATATAAGTATATAGAGTTGCTTTGATACGTTTGTATTGTTTGCCTGCCGTTCATTTGTAGCAGTTGCTCACACATTCAGATACCCTGTAATTTGTTTAGAATTAGCTTAATTCATCTTCTTCTTTCGCATGTCTGTTGCAGGAACGTCGCGCTGAGGTCGTGCGTCAGAACAAGGCTCAGACCCAGGATATGGAAGGACAACAGAGTCCCATTGCCTCGTCGGGTTAGGGCGGCGCGTGGGCAAAGGCTGCTTTAAAAGAAAACTTGCTCTGGCTTGGCCTGGGGCAAACATGAGAGCGAGAGAGAGAAAGAGCGTCCCCAACACTCAACACACACATACATAACACACATACATACATTTTAGCAAGCAAAACAGAAACTTGCTTCGAAAAAAAATTTCAAGTATTATAAAATGAAACTAAAATTTCTAACAAAAATTACATTTTTCGCTGAGCAAAAGGCAGCGCAGGCAAAATAACATAAGACGAACTACAACAACAACAACACTCTCAACTTTACACTACACAACAAAAGAAAAGAAAATTGCAAGCTGCAAATGAATAAAAAAAGAAACACATTTAATAAAGCAAATTTACAACAAGAAAAATCATAAACAAAATACACTTACAATAAGAAAGAAACATAAACAAAATCATATACTTAAAATATTGTCAAAATACTAAACATAATTGAAATTCGTGATTTCTATTTAAAATTTTAATTGATTTTAAATTGTTTTCAAGTTTGATATTTAGTTTTGATACAAATAAAATAAAATGTAATTCAAATTAAATGCCATGCTTATAGTGAATATATATACATATATAATATAAAATATCAAGTGTATTTTCCGACTAATTTGCAGAGCATTTTCTTGAAAAATAACAAGAAAAATTCAAACAATAGAAAATGCCATACGATTTGCCTGTCGTTTTCTCATATGCTTTTGCTTAACAAACAAAATGCAAAACAAAAAAAAAGTATATATGATATAAAAAAAAATTAATTCTTAATTATTAACAATTATAGGAGTTAAAAAAAAAGCGAAAAAAAACTCTACACCATTATTATACATTTTTTATTTTGATATAAGTTTGCATTTTCTATCTATATATAAAAAAAAAAAAAAAAATACATAAGAAATGCTTAAATATAAATAAAAAAAAAACACTACAAAGTAAAACAAAAAACAAACAAAAAAAATTCATTTGACACACAAAACAAATTTTAGGCATTAAAAAAAAGAAAAAACAAATATATATATATAAATATGTATATACTC